CCCTCCTCTCTCTCTTTCTAAGCTTTTCTTCATCTCTCTAGGGCTTTTTTTGTTTCCTTTATCCTTTCTGAGCTTCTTTACTCTTTCCTGGTTGTTGCATTTGAATTTCAATCTTTGACTTCCCTAAAAAATGAGCTTCTTTTAGAGTTTGAATCAGATACTTGGTCTTGATCTTGTTCAAAAGTTTTGGTTTTTGAATCAAAGCTTTTGGTTTTTTTTTAAGTGCCATGATGTTAGGGTTTCTTTAGTTCAAGGGTCCCAACCTTGATAGAGTATATCTTTCGTTCTATCTTTACCTGCTTTGGTGGGTTCCATTTCTTTGAGAAAAGTTTTCGGGATTGTTGATCTTATGGCCACCAGTTATAACTCTGCAACTCCACTTGGATTTAGGGTTTTAATTTGGATTTAAAGAGAGAGGGTTTGTTAACTTTGGAGATAGCATATTGTTGTTCAGTATTTCAAACACCGGACAACTATTTTACTTTGTACGGTGTAAATCCACCTGTCCGGTGTTTGTGTTACTAGACAAGGGGTAATTTAGGAAAACCGGACAGGGGGTAACTTCTAAAAACAAACAAAAAAAAAAAAACCGCGAGGGGGGGTGCTGCCCTTAATTTGAGACAAATGTAATCCCATTTTGTAATTGACCCCAAATATGGCCCATACATAAATTTCTTTAAATTTTTGAGGTATGCTTTAATTTGATTGTTTAGGGCTATAATGACCTTTTTCCTTTAGAAAGTGGAGGAAAGTGCATATCTGGGGCATCCAAAATAGCCTTTTCGGCACATTTGATCGGCTATAACTTGCCAGAATTGTATCGGATTTTTGTCAGATTTACGCCAACATGACGACTAAAATTTTTTGATCAATCAAGTGGAGTAGGGACATTCATGCCACATCTTGCAGTGATCTTCATGCCTTTCGTGCGACGTCATTCAGTACAAGCTCTTTTCTCCTTCAAACTTTCGCGAAAGTTTCTGTTTCGTCACTTAAGTCAATTTCTAGGCTAGATGAACTGATGAAGTCTCCTGAGAGTTTATAAAGGGCCATAAATTTCATCACCTCCTGAACTCACAATTTTTTGTTTCTTCTTTCTTGAATTGCTTTTAAGTTCTAACTCTTCTTTTGCAAGCCTTAAGCCATGTCTTCCAGGGAGCATGCTATGTTTTTAGTAACCATGACTCCGATTTTGACAGATCTCATTGCTCACAAAAGTCATGTGCTCATCACCATAACACTCATGAGTTTCTTTTTCTCCTTCGAGTCCAAAGAATTCTCAGTGATCTTCCACTGACTTATATCCTTCCTCTCCCTCCTATAATGAATGCGGGGTGCTTGATGGTGAGAGAGCATATTATAGACTTCCTCCTTCATTTGAATGATCTACTAACAATGAAGGATGAATGACTCAATGCTCGGGAACACCGTCTCGAGATTCAAGATGTTGAAATTGAATACCTTGAGCCGGAGCTCAAGAAAGCTCTTAAGAGGGCTGGCTTCACTTTGAGTTCTGAGTCTGATTAAACATAGTTTTCTTTTCATTCGTTTTTGCCATGTTGGCCAAGAGTGATGAATAAGGCCATAGATTGTAGGACCTTTTGGGCTATTGCTTTTCTTAATTTATTTCAATTTTAATGTTCATCCCTCTTGAAGAAGCAAAATAATCGCCATGTACATCGACTCGAAAATCAATAAAGTCGATTTTTCTTTAAATGGCTTTGTATCTTTTCCTATCTCTATCTCTCTCTCTTTGTTGCTATGACTGCATTTATTAGGGAAAAATATAGATATTCTCCAAAATGAATTTATAGACATCTTATCTAGTACATTTAGTATCACATTCTAGACCCTACACTATTTTTTTATTTATTCACCCCCCTAATCAAAAAGTCAAAAAAATTAAGACTAAAAATGTCATTCATTCTCCTCTCTCACTCTTTACCCACCTTCTCTCTACTCCGTCTCTCACTCTCTCTCTCTAGCAGCTCTCTCTATCTCCTCCCTCTCTATCAGCCTTTACTCACTCTCTCTATCACCCCTCTTTCTACTCCCTCTCTGCCCACCCTTTTTCACTCTCTCTCTACCTATACCCTCTCTACGTGCCCTCTCTACCTGTCCTCTCTCTATTCCCTCTCTTACTCTCTCTCTATCCCCTCACTCTCTACCTGCCTTTATTCACTCTCTCTACCAGCCCTCTCTACTCCCTCTCTACCTACCCTCTTTCACACTCTTTCCACCCGCTATTTCTATCCTCTCTCTCTACCTGCCTTCACTCACTCTCTTTACGAGCCCTCTCTCTTTATCTCTCTCTACGTGCCCTCTCTTTCTCTCTCTACCCTACAACGAGGCCGCCCCATCAAATGCCACCATCTGTTGTTATTGCTGCTGAGAAGATGAGGGTGTAGAGGAAGAAGGCAAATTCCTTGTTCCATGGTTAAAAGAGCCCCCACCTAAGCATCAAGTCCCCCACTTTGATTTCTCTCTCCTTTCACCTACTAGGTTCCCTTGATCTTCTATTCTTTGAGGGGCATGAAACATAAGCCATCGGGTGTGCAGAGAGAGATTAATGGAGGGCAAGAGAGAGACACAGATGAAAAGAGAGTGGGGTAGAGGGAGACGGGGGATTGGTCCTCCTTTGACATATTGATACGTAAATTACATTGTTTTCAAGTCGAAGTCCCAGATGTAAAATCAATGGCGGGTTCCTATAAACCCCACAAGATCTGTTAATTTTTTATTTTAAAAAAAGAGAGAGATTGGGGATTGGGTCTCAGGTAGGGAGAGAAAGACCAGATAGAGAGAGAAAGAGAAAGAGTAGGTACGTACAAGAGAGAAATAGAGAGAGAGAAGGCGGGCAGAAAGAGGGGATGGGGAGAAAGGGTATAGAGAGAGGGTGGATAGATAGAGAGAGAGAGATGGAAGGGTATTTTGGTTTCAATTTTTTGGACTTTTGAATGGTTTTTTCGATTGGGGGTAAAAGTAAAAAAAAAATAGTGTTGGGTTTAGAAGTGTGATACTAAAGGGTCGTTTTGCAACCTGGAAATATATTGGTTGTGAAATATATTACTGGAGTAATATATTACTGGCATAATACATAACCTACAAATGAATTGTTACTGTTTGGGTAGTATTTAGATGCAACCTGGGAAATACATTGCTAGTGTTTAGTTATGTCTGGAATAAATCTGAGAAATGCATTATCAGCATTTACCAAAACTTACCCATAAATTATCACTGCTTTCTTTTTTATCATAAAATCCCACTGAAATGCCGAATAAAAGCTATCATCACACCATTCCAATAGGATTTTCTAATACTATTGTCATCACCATTCTAGAGAGAGATAGAGAGTCCCAATACCAAATGACACCAATTTAATACTTTCATCTTTTCTTCGTGCTTGAGGTTTTGGTTGTTATTCACTATGGTAAAAGATTGGTCAGTCTATGCCTAAAGAAAATCCCAATAGCAAATGACACCAATTGAGACCAACTTTCATTAAAGGGACTTCCTTACATAACTAAGAAATTGAAGTCAAGACAATAACTGAAGATGGAAACATTTGCATTTATGCAGTCACTATCCCAATTGTTCTCAAAGATGTAAAACACTTAGAATGAGAACATTAAAAGCTTGAAGATAATAGTAAATAACTAGCTCAGAATGAGAACAAAAGAAGTTGAAGTGAAATGAATCAAATTTCGTGTGTAGGTTAAAAATAGAATCAAACTTCTTGTAGAAAAATTAAATTTCTTGTACAAAGTATTACATTATCCAAACTGACATTTTCTACAAAGATCATAGCGAACAGTTCCATAGACCAACCAACAATAACCATTAAGAATACTCTGTGATAATTTTTTAGAATTTTTTACTGTTCTGTAGACCCAAAGACCAGAACTAACAGTTTCATAGACCCAAGCAGCCAACACTTCTGCCCTATGAGAATTTTTGAAGAATTAATTGGCTTTATTATATCCCAAAGGAACAAAAAAGAGCAACAAGAGATCACACGTTTCAATTCTTGCATGAGGAGGACTTGAATTGGTGTGCTCGATGGTAAGTACTTCCTTCGTAGCAAGATATTCTAATGCCTGCAGAAATAAGGGATTCACTGTTAACAAATGGACTTCAAATTAAAACCATATCAAGCAATCATTTTTGGCTTTAAATGCACAAAATGATGAGCTTGTTCGAGATGAGTGATATTTTGCCCCCAGCTGCTACCCATACAGTTGTTACATAAGTTGATCGGTAGCAAATGCCTGGACTATCGCATCTATTGATAAGTTCATATTACTAGGATTAATTAGTCCAGATTCCAGAGCCTTACACTATATGTATTAGAAATCAGACTGCGCTTATATTTATCAAAGGTTTTCTCTATTCAATGCCTCCTGTCTTTGTTTTGTGCAGTTAGTCAAATCGGTAAAGAGAGTCATAGGTTCACAAGTAGGTCCCTAGTCTAACTATTCATGCCCATAACAAAGTTGAGAATATATAGGAGTAAACATAAAAAAATTACATGGTCACAAGAAATTGTAGAAGTTGAGCGACTTTTCCAATTTTGAAATTAGAAACAACTTTTTGACGTTGAAGAATTAGAAGTTTGTTGATAAGAGTTTTAAATTTACCCATTGTATTTTTAAAACAATAAGAAGTTTATCTTTTAAACTGCTGTCTTAAAAATTTACCATTGGATTTCTATAATAATCAAAAGTTAAAATTGAGTATTGATATTCTTTAGAACCTATTTAAAAAGTAAGAGCCCATGAGACGTAGGTACTATCTACAACAAAACAAACTTTCAGGCGTGTTTGATAACAAGAAGTGTCTTCTAGGAACTTGGAAACTTCACTTTACTGTTTATGTTTGGCGTTTGATAAAAAATGGAAGTTGAATGAAGAACTTCACTTTACTGTTCATGGGCCCTTCACCGTTCACTTTATGTGTTAAAAAAAGTTCCGACCAAAAGGTCGGAACTTGAAGTGGGAAGTTTTTATAAAACTTCACCGACGAAAGTTTGCACTGAGCGTCTCTTCGCAGCAGGCCGCCATCAACCAGGGCCCTCTCGCTGAGCCATCCCTCTCTTCTGTTATTCGCCGCACTCGGCCTCCTCTTCTTCCGTCCTCGTCAACCTCCCAGCATTCCTCTTCACAAAGCCCCCTCGCCTGCTTCACCAAGTACCTCTCTCCTCTCTTTTTCTCTCTTTCCATTTCTAGAAAATGGCTTTCTTTCTCATCTCTCTCTGCAGAACTACTTTATTCTCTCTCTGTATCTCTCTCCATCTAGCGGTGTAGCCCTAAATCTATTTCTCGCTCTATCACCAACCTCCCATCCGTCATTGACATCAGAGCTCCAGGTATAGTTCTTTTTATTTATTTATTTATTTATTTATTTTTTCTGTAAACCTATTTCTCTTGCTAGGGTTTTGTTGTTCTTGAATCTCTGTATTTTTTCCCCTGATTTTCAAGATATGTTTATTAACGGATGTGTTTTTGCCAATTTATGTGATTTTGGGCTGGGTTTGGAGAAGTCACGAGATTTGTGGCATTTTAGTTAATATTTTTTGGGGATTTTTTGTTATTATAGTTTTATAAGTATCTGTGATGTCTTCCTCATCGAAGAACACAGTGTTGTGTTGGATTTATCTGTGTGCTCAGTAATTTATCGCTCTATTCTTGTGGAGTGAAGAGTGGGGTTGCATGATCTCAATATAGTTATTGCAAGAGAGGGATTTGGGTTTGCTTGGTTTTAACACTTCAATTTGACCTAAAATGCCGATATTTGCCACTAAACAATAAAACTTCGCATGTATCACATAACTATGTTTCTGTGATTATAGCTACCCAATTCATAAATCTCTTGTTAAAGGCTGTAAAAATGCTGATTTTAGAATGTGAAATAGCATTCATCTTTTGAACTCGAAAATGTAATTTTATATAATTATGATTAATAGTAAAACAAAATAGTAATTATATGGAAGTAATTATATAATGGTTATATAATTTTTAATGGGTAGCATTTTACGCAGCAGTGACCTCTAACCTGTTATGATAAGCTAATGGACTCTCCATAGCACTGACTGTTGTGCCACTGAATGGAATTTAAAATATCACTTTTGATAGTCCGGGACTCAAAGTATTTCGTATATAAGTGTGACTCAAACCAATAAAACTTGGCTTGATGATTTTGGCTTAGCATCAGAAATGATGCCCCCCAAATCTTGCTGGTCTAGGGCTCCTTTGGAGCTTCCATCAAAATTGATCTTTAGCACACTTTAGGGAAGGGGAATCCTATTAACTATTCATTTGAGCTCTTGGAGATTCTTTTTTTCCTTTTTTGGATTAGTAGCTCTTATTGGGATGCTGCTTTATCATGTCTCTCTATGACCACTGCATTTTGTATCCCTTAATTACATTTGGGTTGTTGACGAACCATGCAATGGGGTTTGTCTGTTCATTGTAAGAAACATGATCTCTTCAGTATCCCGCTAAATATTCTGTTGCTTCAATCCTAGTGATACGTGGCCATATCAAGTAGGAGTTAAGGGCTTATTGACTTGAAGAACAAAGTGTATTGTGTTCTATGGTAGATCTTGCTATTCACAAAAACCAATGATGTGGCAATCATATGCCCATGAATTTAGCCATGTCCCTCATAATCTAGAATAATGTCTTGTATGACTAAAGGGAAAAAAAGAATTGAAAAAAGATGGTAACTAAGTAGTGCTTGGACTGCTTTTTTGGGGTCATCATTCCTTTAATCAATATGATGTTATTTTCTTTTGTATTACTTTTAAGGTTTGTCATGTCATTAAATGATCAAATATGTAAGAGTTTTTTCCATATGAAATCTACCTCTCTATCTATCTACATGAAAAAATTTATCTTTTTCTTTGATTTGTTATTATACAGCAGCATATTCACATGGTTTCTCATAGTTGCTCAAGGTGTAGGTTAGATGAAGGTAATAATTTGGAATATTATCTTCTATACTATCGTATTTTTTGAGGGCCTCTATTTTGTTTGGTGAACCCTTGATGCTAAATAAGATGGATTGCTTGCATTCTAGCAGTAATTTGGTTCATGGTCTTAGGTTGTCTTTTATTTTCGTGTTGAAATTAGAACTAGAAGGTCTTACATCTGGCATGTGTTGTTGACATGTAGTTCAACTTGGACGAGTTCATGTTTAGCATTAACGTACAAGGTCCTTATATTTTTTTTTTACGAATGAAATGGTACCCCTAAAAGTGTCTATGACTTAATTGGGTGATTTGGAATTGATGGTAAAATAAACAATTGAAGCATATCAGTTGCCCTTTCTCTATTCTTTATATTTTAAAGTGTACTGAAAATCTTCATCCACAATTTTCTTTCCTAAGGTTATGGATTTTGTTTTGTTGGAACTCTTTGAGACAAGTTTTGTATAGATCCTTGAGACATTTTGTCTTTCATTGCGCTCTTTCAATATGCGCAAGACTTTTGAATATGCACAGGTCCTACTTATATTTATCGATTTCTAGATGCTCTTTCATGTGCATGGCCATTTATTACTCTCTTTGTATGATACTTTCTTATAGTATTTTAAACCTAAAAGAAGCATCATGCTCACAGGTTCTGCAAAACAGACATTCTCTAGTCAAGATGCAGTGACAACAAACGAATTGATAAAAGCGCTTATTGATTGGAAAATTATTCAAGATGAAAATGGAATGTAAGCACTTGGACCACTTTGAATTTGGTTGTTAGATACCTTTCACTTTGTTTTATTTTCTAACCTTGTAATTATTATTATTATTATTATTATTATTATTATTATTATTATTGAGTATATAATCTTGTAAGTCCTTTCCTTATATCAAATTATCAGCACATAGAACTCTATTTTTATCTCACTTGTCTCACAATATTATTGACATGTTATTATTACAGTTATTCCATGACCTGTTCATGATTTTGATAGACCAGCTACATCACATTTCCTTTTTAGTTGTATTTATGAACAAGGCTTTAAAAATTCGGAAGACTTAACCTTTTACCTCTTATTAGTGACTCAGCTTGGCTTGGTAGGTTCGATCGATTTGGTTGAATCTATTGATTAACCAATAAAAAGAGGCTTGACTTAGTTGAGTCTTGTGATATTACAGGACACTTGCCAAGGTGTTGAGGCAATTCACAAGTACTTATTAAAATTGCATATTTGAATAGGATAGCAGATTTTCATTGGTGAATGTAAGTAGTGCTGAAGTTATTACAGGTTATTGTTGAAGGGGCTGATTTCTTACTACTTGCATTTTTAATTATGTATGTTTAAACTATTACTGGTTATTGTTGAATGGGCTGGTTTTGTACATGGTTATATATGGATGCATGAATTGTGAATGTTGCTTGACATGCATCACAAATGCCTTAACACTTAACATACAAATGTTATGTGCGTGACTTGTGAATGTATATTTTTGAGTTGTGAATGACATATATTTTTTAGGTTGGGATATGGATGTATCAGTGGTGAATGTAAGTAGTGCTCAAGTTATTTCAGAAAGATAATATTCTACTTTACTTTCAATTGATATAGTATTCCAAAAAAAAATATTCTACAAATTAATAAAAAAATAAATAATATCTAGGTCTCAATTTTAACATTTACATCTTGGCTATTACTTAAAGCTAATCCAATACAGATACCCAGTTCTTCTTTAACTTCCCAGGAAGTTATCAAACACAGAAACCAGGAATTTCTTAAGTTCCCAGGAGGTTATCAAACACATAAACCAGGAACTTCTTAACTTCCCAGGAATGTTATGAAACACAGAAACTAGGAGCTTCTTTAGGAACTACTAATGTATAGTTCTTCAGAAACTTCCAATTTACAGTTCATGAACTTGCTTTCAGTTATCAAACAGGCCCTAACAGCAAAACCCTGTCTAGGTTTTAGAGAGAGAGCAATGAAGCTCCAACCACAATGTCTAGAGATAGACCAAAATCATCTCAAAGTTGTAGAGAGAAATTAAAACACATCAGAAGATTTAACATTATCCAAAAACATCACAAAACAAGCTGAGTAATGCTTAGTATCAGGAATTCTAGAGAGAGAAACAAATAGAAGAAAACCAAGAGAGATAGATGAGCATACATGGTATCTTTCTGTCCAAAGCTAGAGAGCAGAGTTCTTTATATTGGAAATGTGGCATATCAAACCAGTTTTTCTCTCGAATTATTATTATTTCTTAATAATGGTACAGAAATCATATTGAAGTATAAGTGAAATCTCATGTGGTTAACATGAGGCAATGTCATATACATGGATCCATTTTTTAGCTTTAATAGAATGTATCATTGGAGGGAAAAATCCAGTATCACCTGAGAGAAAACCTAGTGATGTGTTTGGATTCCTTGTAACTTGTGGGAATGATTGGATGACAAAATATTATACGAGTCATTAATGGACTAATGATAAGTTTAACTCATTACATAGGATTAATTGTTTGGTGTCGTTTGGATACTTGGAAATACATTGTCTCTGCAATATATTACTAGCGTAATACATTACTGCGTAATACATTACCTGCAAATGGATTGTTACTGTTTGGGTAGTATTTAAATACATAACAAGTGGACTCAATGCACACGAAACTCTTTCGTTTGTGCAGTTGAATTTGTGGCAGTGGTCTCCAACTCCTGATCAGTGAATCAAATAATCGAAATATGCTTAAACCATGGACATTTATAGATGTGTAAGTAGAAGTATCAGCCAGTAGCTTGAAATTTCGCGTGATGGGGTTATAAAAGAACCCAAAATTAAAAACATTGAAATCAAGCTTTGGAAGAGGGGTGAACTCCTTATGGGTTATTGGGTTTACAAGGGTAAAAACATTACTGCTTCCTGATATCATCAAGGAGCATACCATGCCATTGCTAGAGGCCACCCACTCTAGGTCTTCATGTGAAAAGAAGATTCTCTTATAGTAAAGAGGACTGACTATATCAGAAGGGCAAACACAAAACATTTGGTTACCATGAACGCACTGAGAGAAAGGTTGAGGAAGCAAGGACGAGGATGGTTAGATGCCTCGATGTCGCACTTCTGGTTGGGATGACCTGGTGGCACGTGTCTTGGGTTTCAAGGAAAACCCAGGACTTGAGATCGCTCTCTCGGGAACTTTTTTAAAGAACAAGGGCAGGTACACCAATCGGTGAGAGAGGAATTTGGTGTGAGGCAGAACACACCTCACCTGGGTTCAGGACTTACTCGGGCTGGCTTGTGTGGACGCCCCTCTTAGATCACGAAGAAAGCCCCCCAGTTCTACAACTGGTTCGAAATCGCCTCTCTTGATCTGTACTCTCATGTTTATGCAATCACACATACATGGTTAATTTTACGAGACAAGTGGGCTAAAGGACCCTACCTTATCTTTGGGCGAATGTACATAGGGGTGCACATCCAAAAGAAGAAGGGAAGAATAAAAGGATAAAGATTGGGGTCGTGCACATCCATGCCGCTCAAGCGGGACTTGTCGTTGCTGAATTTGTCGCGAATCGCCAACTTCTCTCTTTTCTCCCTGCTCGGGTGTCGTCACGTGATGTACCACATATCAAAACGCTCGTCTTGACAAGACGAACGTGCTCGCAAAAATTTGAGTGCGATTCTACTCGGGATGAGAAAGATATAGCGTCTGCAAGTCATTGCGTGAAACTGTGAAAGCAGTCGCCATTAATGGTGACTTTGTGCAGGGAGGACACACAAGAATAGCGTGCGGCTACCCCTTTTTAATGTTTCGCCCATAACTTTGTCCTGGAGCGCCCGATTAAGCCGAAATTTGATCTATAGGGGTTTTCGACTGTGCCGGATTCAATGGCGGTGGTCCCACAGCTGTTTGATGCATCGAAAATATAGTTCTAGTTACGAGGTCCGTTTCAAGGTGCTAAAGATCGATTTTTCCAACATTGTTTCTTCATCTTCACTGCCTTTAACATGTCAGATTGCAACGAAACTTGGCAGGTGGCCTTTTGGAGTCCTTAGGAAAATTCTAACCCATGCTTGGGATAATGCTGGAGAGAGATTCTATCTCTCCTTCTCTCTGTCTCTAGTAACTATTTACAAGAATGCAAAGAATTCAACAATTTAAGAGACAGAAAGAAGTAACTGAAAATTGGAAAATCAAGTTTTTAGGGCTAAAAAGATCAAAATTTTGAGTTAAGAACTTATTGGTTTTGGATTTTGTTGCTTCTAATCTACACCAAAAAGATGCCATATGAAAGCAGTGGAGATGTTCCTACTTCTCTATCTTTCTAAATGACCAGATGGAAGAAAATCGCCAAAATATGAGAGAGAGCTTAGAGAGTGAAAGGGCACATCTTATGGTAGAAAGAGAGAAAGATGTAAATGACTTAATACGAGAGAGACAAGGAGGAGAGAGAGGGGGAAGTAGTCAGCTTACCAGGTTGAGAGGGAAAAGGGGAGCTTAAGAGGGAGAAGAGAATGTACACAGGAGAGAGAGGGGGAAGTGGTAGGCTTACCAAGTTGAGAGGGAAAAGAGGAGCTTGAGAGGGAGAAGATGATGTATGCAGGAGAGAATGAAAATGGAGGATGTACGCAGTAGAGAGGGAAAATGGTTTTTTAGACGGTAAATTACTTGTCACGCGCGTAAAAGATTTCCCAGTTCTCCCCATGTGTAATAGATTTCACGATATTTGAGAAAAGATTGAGTAATCTATTTTCATTTCCTTACTAATGAACGTATCCAAACAATGTAAATGTCATATTTCCTAGTAATCTATTTCCATGTAATATATTTTCAGGTACCTAAACGGCCCCTTGGTGACAACTTGTTAATCTTAAGTAGCTGTACTTAAGGGAATTAAGGTAGGAGTAACAATTGGATCTCAACTCCTAAAGATCATGAATATGAGAGTTACAAAATAAATGTGTTATTTATAAAAGGAGGTTAACCCCTCGAGAAAAAAGAGAGAAAATGATAAAAAAATAGAGATGAAAGGTGAAAGAGATTCACCAAGAGGACTCTCTAGGTAGTCTGTCACCGAATGGCTTGGTTTATAGGTTTTGGTATGGAACCTTAAGTTCCTCGTGTGATTTAAAGATAGATCCGAGTAAGTTGATTTTAATTTTATTTATTTATTATTATTTTAATTGGGACTAACAATGGTATCAGAGCATGGGTTGTGAGATGCAAGGGCTTGGCAAAACCTAGTGAAGTTCGGCGAGGGTATTTCCTATCAGGTATATGCGATGGTATCCTTTGTCTGGAAGGAATGTGCGATAATATCTTTTAGCTGAGGCTTGAGTGAGGGTCAAGACCGCACACCAAAGGATTGTTGGGGCCATCAACATGTCCCTAAAGCCACTTGACGTGGCTCTCCACTGTGGAGAAAGAGGTAAGGAAGAAGTTTTAATGCTTCATTGCACAACGCATCTTGACCAATTGTGGTTAAGCTACAATTGTTTTTTATGAAATATTTTGGACAAAACTTGTCTCATTCAGGGGTTATATTATAGCAAAAGATTGCATTATACCATTACCCTAGGGCACAATCCTCTATAAACGGCTTGGTTTTTCAGTTTGAACCTTTAAAGAGAGAAAATACAGAACAATTGATGGGTCTTTTTTTTTTTTTTTTTTTTTTTTGAGTTTTGGGTATGAGCATAGGAGCTATTCGTGGTTGCAACATCTAAAATAAAAAAAACTTCCATGAGTTTCTTGGTAGACTTACTTCTAACTGCACCAAAGTCTTCATATGTGAAAAGTTTTGTCCTTTAAGGACCATGGCCAATATTAGGAAGTGGTTCAAAATAATTAGTAGGCCCCACATACAAAATTTTTGTTTTGGCAAGTTTGAATATGAAAAGTATTTGGTAGGTTTTAATTACAAAGTACTTGTGGTAAGTTTTTTATTGCTCTAAATTAGAATTTGGTAGGTTGCAAGTACAAAGCTTTTGTGGTAAGTTCTTTATTGCCTTAAATTGGAATTTGATAGGTTGCAATTACAAAGCTTTTGTGATAAGTTCTTTATTGCCTTAAATTAGAATTTGGTCGGTTTCAATTACATAGCTTTTGTGATAAGTTCTTTATTGCCTTAAATTAGAAATTTGTTGACATTCTATTTTATCTTAATAACATGAAATGAATGCAAATCAATGTGCATTCCCATTTTGAAATTTATGTTTCTCCCTCTCTCTCGACCCAAGGATATGCAAGTTTCTATCTCTCACT